GACGTTTATTCTTTCATGTCTCATACAAAACTGATCGTCGCCCTGGACGAGCTCGCTTCCTTGAATACAGTCAGACTTTTCTCTTCTTTGTTCCGTGCAACGGCTAAGGTGAAACGCTTTAAGGGGCGATATATCTTTCTCAGCACTAAAAAGTGGTCAATGCTTATGAGTGATTGGGGGACAAACTATTAGGCCAATTGGTTTAATTTGTTTTCTGTTACAAAGGTGTATGTTCATAGAGTAGAAAAGAGCAATGAAAAATTGAAAATTATTAGAAATAACGACGTGAAATGGTTTTTGTTTTTGGCGCTGCCCTAAACAGTAGGCATGATTCAGCCCGTGCCAGTGATCAGAAACAAAATTTCTCGATTTTTTAGCACTTTTTGGGATCGCAGTGCTCACAGAAGATATTTTAGAAAGAAGAATTGTCCCACAACCGGTTGCATTCGAACGGATGCAATTTCGTCGATAATTCAAATTTCGAGTTCCCGTTCGACTTAAAAGTTTCTACTATATGTACCTTCCAAAATATGTAAAACAAAAGCATGGATTTTTCAAAATCGAGAAAGCGTCGGTTACTTACTATTTTAGTACTATATTAAGTAAGAAAAATTAATATATTGTAGATTAATTAAATTTGCCAATCTTCAGTTTTCTAAGTTAAATCGAACATTATATATAATATAACTGTTTTTATCAGATCTCGACCAAAATCTGTGGCTCGAGTCTGACTCGTTATTATACGGCAAGGGGTTAAAATATTTCCACGAAATGTACCTTGCAAAACACGTAAAACAAAAAGATCGACTTTTCGAAATCGAGAAACGCGTATCATTCGTTAATTCCCAAAAGTCTCGTCTGTCGGCAAAACCGAAAGTCCACTACTGTCCACTTTCAGCGAAGCCGAAAGCCTTACAGTGCCTTTATACTCCGGACTGAAACCATTTTCATACTGACCGTCGTAAATAAATCGTCCATCCTGATTCATTACTTGATGAGAAAGTTGAGATGTATGTATGTACTTATTTATGTAGAATGATTTAAACACGCGTGTAATATCCAGGCTGTGTGAAGCTGGAAGCACCGGAACAGTCGTACGATCACCTGACCGTGCAACGGTCGTAAAACCTGTTCTGGCGATCTCCGCGTGTTCGTTTAATCGCGAAACATCCGACAATACCGGTTGGCCCGCGCATCTACTTGACCCAGATCGACTGTCTGCCGCAATTTGCACTCGATGCGCTTTACTCGAACCTCCCCGGTGTATGAAAGCGGAAGAAGTGGCATCGAAGGAATCCGCCAAGTCACCCTTTTTCTTTACCGGCGCGCCCCTGTCAATTACGTTTCCCTGCGCGAAATTTTCCGAATACTCGCCCGATTTTTCCAACCGGATTCCGTTCGAATTCAGCCAATCGAGAGAAATATCTTTCTGCCGTGTTAAAAATCCAACGCTCGTGTTTTCTGCATCCGGATATAATTTAATGTTAAACAAATGCCCGGAGCGATTGCAAAACGGTCCGATTGCCTCGCTATAAATTATCACCGGGTTCCCGATTGCGTTTATTGCCGCGTATACGTATATCGTCGCGTATTATTCGAACCGTGTCACGGACTTTTCATAAAACGCCTACTACACCCCCTTTCTCTCCGCTGTACAGCTCTCGTCTCCTTTTTGATATCGTTGTTTCCACTCGGATTTTATTATCTCGCGTGTTCCTCATATATTCTGTCCCGCAGGACCGCACGGGGAAATTTGAATACAGAACGAGTATTTACTCTTGGAAAATGAAAGGATCTGATGTTCTCTTGCTGATCCGATGCTTTCGAGTTGCTTTGCGTATCGTTGGAATTTCTTTCTCTCGACGTGAAATTCTCCGTGTAAAAATCCTTGAAATTCCTGTTCTCTCGCGGAAACAGCGCCGGAGTCGGAGGCATGTTAATAAAAAAATTAATCTTCCCGGAGGGAATTGGACCGAATGAGTTTCCAACAAACGGGGGCGTGTATATTCATGGCACAGTGAGAAAGCGATAACGAGACGCGATGAAATTGCCCGACGTCGATAAGGAGGTCTGTGGAAACTTCGAAACGGCACTTTTCCATTTAGCCACACACTTATTTGATCGTATTCGGAATTTTATCGCGACGGTCGAGATCCTTTTATTTTCATCCGCGTACAGTATCATCCTCCATAAAGGATCGTATAGAATGAAACTGTGCTTTCTAACATATATGTATATACATATATATATATATAGGTACGTACGTATCTGTAATAATCATATAGGACGTGAGTGGCATACATTAGCCCGTTTCTTTTCTTCGCGGGGGAACAAAAATGTCTGATATCGGTGGTAGGTGGAAAATGATCGAAACGTTTCGATTCAAAGTCCAATCACACACGTTTCACGTTTGTCTATCTTTTTCCCGTCTCTTTCTCGCCAAAATTTCTCCGATATTCGATTTTTCGTCTCGAGTATCTTCCATTATTTCGTAATTTCGACGTGAAGTTAGCTCGAGCAAAAAGGACTGCATACGTGTACATACACGCTGGTCAGAGAGAAGATAGGTTCTTTCGTGGAAGGAAATTCGGTCTGTTTTGTACACTGATCCACTTCAATTAGCGTTAGCCGACATTAGCATCGTTGTATCGAACCGCGAGAATATAATTGTTCCAGGCAAAGGATTCATTCCAAAGGAAGATAGGTGTTGTAATTGGTTTTCTGAAGGTGAAGCGTTTCTGCATCGAATCACGGGAATAATTTACAGTGCATAGGGCAAACACAAACAGGGTAGATGACCATGTATACGCGAAACAAACGATCGTTTGATGCACAGACATCCTCCTACTCCTCCAACTGTACGTATACCACTCCTGATTAAATATATTTATATTCGCCGTCGGGATTTCCTTGTACTTAGATCTGCCGCCCCTCGAGAGCACCGTAAACAATAACGCTTTTAAATCTGTTCACAAAGCGAATCAATTAGTGGGGACGATGGCGAATACATACAACGTGTTCCTTCTCTTTGTAGCGTTAAGTAAGATGTATTCTTTCGACTCGTTCGTCAGAAATTTATTATCTGTGCTGGAAGACAGGGCGAGGGTGAGAGACGGGACAAAGAGGAAGACAAAAGAAAAGGACGGAGAGAAGAGAGAAGAGAGAAGAGAGAAGAGAGAAGAGAGAAGAGAAGAGAAGAGAAAGAGAAGAGAGATGGAGAGAGAATGTGAATGAGTGAATGACTGTGAGTGAGAGAGAAGAAGAGAGAAAAAATGTGTCAGTGAGTAGCGGAATGATTGAGTGGGAGCTCTATTCTTCGTTCGTAAAACCGATGGTTTACGCGCAAAAACGGTTCGGCGATTTTTACCGTGGCTGAGGCATGGAGAGAAGGTTTCTTTCGAACGCTAGCCAACTTCCGCTTGGCTTCGGCTTTGTGAAAGCAGAATCTTTTATACACTCCACCTGGACAACTCGAATGGTCCGTATGTCAAACTAAACAACTAAGCTTTACCACAAATCGATACCGATGTTTTTCACGAACTTAAGAAATCCCGTTCTTTCGCTTAAACCTAATGTAATAATTCTCCCTCTCACTCTAAATTATTTTATTAAAAAAAACGCTATAACACACGTTGAAGCCAAAGAGACGGTACGAAATAAGAGGGACGTAAATCGAAGTAATAGGACAGTGGCAAACCCTGGGTGGAACCACAGCGATGCGCAACTTGTCGCGCAATATCCAGCCTCGAATGGGGCAAAGACGTTGCGGGCATTACGGAGAGTCTGACCGGTTAATACGAGAGTTTTATTTTCCTAGGCAACAAAGTCCTTTATGCTCGACCATCGGCAGAGAAATTGAGGAAACTTGACCGTTCGAGTTAAAAGAGCATAATACCGTCAGCTTCGAACGTAACTCGTTATTTTTCTGATCAGTATTGACATTTTTCTTATTTCTCGCTGTTTCAAAGGAGGGGAATTCTCGGGAAATATTCTAACCCTTTACTCTGCCGCCTGGCTCTTCCTGTTCGCTCCGTGTTTTCCGATCTACCTGTTAGACGCAGCGACTGTAGGAAATCAAGACTTTTGATCTTTGGTTTGAAACGTGTCCCCTAGAGGAGTCTCGACGCGGCGAATCGTTCTTCCGTGAACATTTCCAAGTGTTCGTCGCAATCTGCAGTTCGAATAATCGATCGAAATGTCGTTAATCGAACAAATCCGACAAAATCGTCGAAAATCTTTATACCATAGAGCAATCCTGAAGTTGCAGAACACGAGAGATTAACGTTCGCGGGGGTGTTGTCGAAAGTTGAAACACGGACAATCCGGATAAACGTGGGCACCAAAGGTATTCGAAACTCGAGCATACAGGCCAATAAAGGAATTAAACTGTGCTATTAAACGAACGAGATCGCGAGCCTTTGAAGGCGGGATACGGATGGTGAAAGAACTGTCGGGGATCGGGGCATTTAAAGTGGATCCAACTCGATTCAATCCAAGCGCCGTCTCTCGAGGGGTTAAGAATCCAAATAAATCCTGGCTCGAACGGAGTAAGCGGATTATTCGATGACCCTGACGTCGTCATCCAGCAACGCCAGGCTTCGTGCTTCTTGAAAAGGAAGGAAGCCGCTCGGTGTTGCCATTCTGAAAAGTATGGAAGCCACTGTGGCTGAGATTAGTCGATAATTTTCAACGGTGATCGACCACTTGCCTGCCGTCCGTCGAAATTCACTATCTATTATTCCAGGAAAAATCCCACGCGAAGATGATTCGCGTGTCTGTACCGAGGAGACCCCATACAATTTCTACTCTTCGAGACGGTCGAGAAGAGAAAATAAGAAGCAACGGTATCGTCTGGCGACGAACGATTCTTCAGCAGCTGGTCCGAGAGCGTGATAGGTTGCCACGCGGAGGTGGAGGGAGGGTTAAACTGACCAGGAGCGAAATTTACCATCGGTCGTCGGCGTAACTGGCGGATTCACGTGCGTTTACGAGCACCGCGTATGCAGAGTACACGTTGCGCCGGTATAAAAGCATGGGAAAACACGCTCGAAAGTTGCAGTTCTCACTTGACCGCCTTAAATATCATAATGCAACTCATGGGGATCCAGGTAGAGTATCGTCGGAAAGAACACTTGGGTCCAAGTTTGGGAGCGTGAAATCGAAAGAAATCGAGAGAAGAAGATCGAAGCGCGAGAGAAAGTGCCTGTTAAGAGACGTGTTTTGTTTATTGCTTTTCCCCTGAAACCGAGAGGAAGGGAAAATTTCGAGAGAAGCAAACGGAACAGGACCCGGCTCTGTTCTAATTCCCAGTAATTTTCGAAAATATGTAATTAACTCGAGCGGGAATGTTCCTCCTTTGTGGGTCTCGTTAAGGAACGCTTTGAACACACGCGTATGAAATAAGTAATTTCGAGGGGACTCAGGAAGACAGGGAAAATGGTAAAGCGACGTGGTTGTGTCACGCGTGAAACACACTGGACTTGCTTGTTATTCCTGGCTCGAGTCGCGTAATTAAAACCTATCTGTATTATCTTTCCCGCGGTTTTCCTCGTTTGCGTTTGATGGGCTCAACACACTTTTGTTACAGGATCGGCGATCGATCCAATTCCGGGGGAGAAATTACATTAGACAGCGTCAATTCCTTGCCTCGTTTCATTTTTCGCCTTCGTTTGTTTTTTCATCTCTTTTTCAATATTCTTACCGATACTTCGCGATCAATCGTTTCCAATAATTCCCATTGCCGCGGTGAACGAGCCGGACAAAGTGAAACGCGTACAAAAGAAACGGGAGAGAATCGAATTTCAATCTATGACGAAACGCGAAACTTTTATTGGCTTGTATAATCGACTGGCAGAGTCTCTGATTTCGAATTGCAAGCAGAACGCTCGTGCGCGCCCGATTTGTAATTAAAACTGGGACATCTCAGGCTATTACTCTATCTCCTCTTTTTGTCCCCTTCACTCTCTCTCTCTCTCTCTCTCTCTCTGTGATTCAATTTGTCGTTCTAAGTGCAGCATGTATTCGGTTGCTTTCATCGCGGTGTCCAACCCGATTCGACGCGGCCGTGCATGCAACCATAATTACAGGATCGAATCATAGCTTGTTCCCGACGCTATCGAATCCCTCGTAATCGACCGTACAATTCTAATTCGTCAATCGAGATTCATGCTCTTTATTCGTTCAATCGTTCGTTAATTCGTCCTATCTGTAGCACTTTTAACTACCATTTAATTTCGTGTACCATTAATTCCATGCATTTAGAAAAATACATCTGAAGTTTACCCGTCGTGTTACGAGTAATTATATTTCATTTGAAAGGATCTTTCAACTCGTGTCTGACAGTCGAATCATTCCAAGATCTTCCATTACTTTCGCTCGCGGCAATTATTCAACCGAGCCAGCAGGTTTCCAATCGATCTCTCCACTAGCAGCCGCTAAGCGTCACCAACTTTTCCCACTGCGAATAACCAGTAAATTTTCCAGATCGCCCGTGAAGGTTAGCCGGCATTATCGAAGGTGACTTTTTGTGCGACAGGTCGGCATCGCCTTGACCGTCGTGCTGGCCATGGGCCATCGATCACTGGCTGGCGTGATACCCCTGGAAGGAGAAGGATTTCACGAGCAACAGGGCCTAGCGAAACACGGTTCACTGGCCAGTTCGTACCTGCAGTTTCACGGACCGGTTGAAGGACCGGTGTACCAGGTGAAAGTGCCGTACGATCACAAGGACACCACGAATGATCTGCACGGTCAGGAGGAACAGAACGATAACGGTGACTCGTTCGACTACGTGGCGCATCCCAAGTACGAGTTCTCGTACGGCGTGGAGGATCACGAGACGGGAGATTTTCACGCGCAGAAGGAGACACGGGACGGTGAGTAAGAGAGAAAGCTAAGACTTTATATTGTATTTGTCCCGCGCTGGAGAAACTTTTACCTCTCCTTTGAGTGTATCGCTCGTGTGAATTTCGCCACGCGGTCCTATGCACACGGCTAGAAGCCAGCCCAGCCGCAAGAGAAACTCGCTTGGACGCGTATCATGAATATCCAACGGAAAGGCACGGCCAGACCTGGTAAATAAGTAAAGAGGATTAAGTCGTTTAGCTCCCTCCACTGTTACCTTAGTTATTTTCTTCGTCCGGCTATGCTAATAGCAGCCTATATTACGATGCAACGGGAAATTCGTACATCTGAAATCCTCGCACACCGGTGGAAAAAGATATGAAACTTTTGATATCCTCCGGAAAAGAAGTTTAACGGCCATCTGTCTCTACTGTTACGTGGAGCCTGAAGAGAAAGCGAGCGAGGGTACTAGATACTGTTAGGAAAAGGGAGGTTTTCTCAAGGACTAGGAGCAGGTTAGGTCAATGGACAATTTTGTTGGGAGCGGAGCGTTATTCTTTCCTTCATAGAATATTGCTGGTTCTATAACTATTTATTGAGAAAATACAACAATTGTTATGCAGCGAGCCTCCTACGCTCTGCCACCAGAGGAACGGATTAACCACAAGTTCTCGCTAGTCCTCATAAAGGCCCCTATTTGTATATATACAACTTCTGACGTGAGTCCTTCCAGTCCCTCCCGCGTCTAAGTAAGGCACGGGTCTCCTAGAAAGCTTTACTGTCGAGTCCACTAGGAGGCCCAGGACGAAACGTCCTACCTTTCCTCTTCCGCCTATCCTCTCTCTACCAATTTTCTACCTCAGCTTCAGTTACACCATCAACACACCATGTGTAACGCTTCAGGCATGTACGCTGGAAACAAACAAATACCAAGAGGAAAAGAAGGAGTTCGTCCTTTACTCTGTTAGACAGACAAACACTGTTATTTCCAACAAAAACAGTTTCGAAACTGTTACAATCATTTTCGTTAGCGAGAATCATTAGTTTCTCACACTAACACCGAGTCGAACGATCGATCTGGGTTTTCTGTATTTGAATGCTTACGAGTCCTTCGTTTCGTAAATTTTCTTGTTGTTATTTTCGAAGATCCCAAAGTGGGTAAACTAGTCGTGGAAGATTAATTTCGCATAATCCGTGAGTTTCTGTGGCATTCTATTACGCCTCGTTACGAGTTCAGGAATTGGTCTCGCGGTTTCCGTATGTCTATGAGAGTTCTCCTTACTACAGGAAGCAGCGTTTCCGGCCAGTACAGCGTGAAGGAGCCAGGTGGTGGCGTCCGGGTGGTCAGCTACCGCGCCGACAAGGACGGATTTCATGCTGTAGTGCACACTTCCGGCAGAAATGACCATTCAGTTGGTGTGTACGCTGGTCAAGGCCAGCACCATCAGGTTCACGATCACCAGGATGCGGAGCCGCAGGCAGAAGAAATAGGCGATTACGTCGCCTCGTACGCCGCGGACGAAGGATACTGATCCTCTACACGCGGTCTATCAACCGCCAAACCGCTTTGTACCTGGATCAAACTCAGTCAGCGTTTCCTGGTTCCACTATAGTGAAGGTTTTCGGCGGTGCTCTTAGCACCAGGTGCTCGCCACGAACCAGGTTTACATTGTAAATATTAGATTACGTTTTCGATTATGAATTGCTGTCGTTTCTTTACCTTGGTCGCTCCTTTTCCTGGTACCGATAACGATAATAACGATTGTTGAGTTAAGTTGCTATCGTAGGAGCGGAGGAAAAATTTGAGGGACCCAAGGCAAAGTGGGGACTGGGCACTACACAAATGCACCTTTATTTTTCCTCGTTCTTGCTTCCGTAGTTTGGGTATTGAGGCCCCGAGATCCGATATTTGGCCATCTTGCGCTGATATTGGCCTTCAAGTTTCCTACACTAGGCGCACTAATTTTTGTTAGTGGTACTCAGGGCCACTGACACCACTTGTAAGTGGCCGAGGGAAAATTTGAGGGACCCAATGGAAAGTGGGGACTGGACACTACACAAATGCACCTCTGTTTTTCCTCGTTCTTGCTTCCGTAGTTTGGGTATTGAGGCCCCGAGATCCGATATTTGGCCATCTTGCACTGATATTGGCCTTCAAATTTCCTACACTAGGCGCACTAATTTTTGTTAGTGGTACTCAGGGCCACTGACACCACTTGAAGAAAAATTTGAGGGACCCAAAATGGGAACTGCGATCTCTGGGACTCTACGCATTGCACTAACGAGCCTTCTCTATTGTTCCTCGTTTTTACGCTCCTGTAGTTGGGTACGAAGGTCCCAATTCTACATATATACTTTGTACACATTTCACGCGATACTACTTGGCAGACTATTATTTCTCACGATATCAAATGCGAGATTATACGTGGAAGAGCTTGAGTGACGGCAAACGGAGATAAAGGCTTAGGTCGTAATTATTCGTGATCAAGTGGGAGGGAATCGACACGAAAGGAGGTCGATAGTTGATGGAAGAACTACACCCGAACACAGTCACACGTGGCACGTCGTTAAGGCGCGTCTCTTCTGATCAATTTGATACCAACGGAACGTCGTTATCGCGAGTGGATAAAGACAAAAGGAGGAAAGAAACGAAACGAGGCGAGGGTGGCAGCGAATAACAGGAGAGGAGATAAAAGGAGAGCTCGTCCGCGCGCTAACAATGCCTCGAATGCATGTCGATAGAGATGGAGGCGGAGTGGAGACAAAAAGAACAACGAACCAAGGGTGGTAGGTAGATAAGGGCTGGTAACAGACCAAGATTCTGTTCTCTGACCACGTTACATTGTCAACTCCCTATCTTACGATTTCTTTAATATACAGGGTGTCTTGATAACTCTGTCCATCTCGATCAACTCCATTATTTCATGTAACAAGCGAGAACGTTATTTACAAAAGCTGTATGGTTTCTTTACAGGTGGACGCGTTTTTTTATTTCTTTTTAAACCCACCACTATCCCGCAACACTTTCACTGGCACTGTTTATGACATTTCGTCAGGGAAAGAATATAGCCATCGATTTCATATTATCTATCGCTATTTTCTTTTTCAAAGCGACTATATTTAACACAAAGGTTCCCAATGGTAAGTACTTGATTAACAAAGTAGGATAAAAACACTGGAGGAGATCTGGAAGTGAATTGCGTTCCTTTAAATCAGGCATGGGCAACCTTTCCTAGTTCGGGTCTAGTTCTCAAGGGCTGGACGAAATTATTAAATAAAATAAATGAATATTAAACGAATGAAAACAAGTTGCTACTTCATATTTCGTTTATTTATAATATAACGGCCGACATAACAATTTAATGTGAAGATTGAAGACAAACTTCGCTGAAATAGATGCCCATATGTGCTTTAAATGGAATGTAAAATTTTTCATAGTGAAATTTTATAGAATTGTCGAGTGACTAGCCCTCTCTTACGATCTTTGTCGTAATGACAAAATTTGTCTTCGTTCCATTTTTACCATAATCTGCCACGAGCACGATTCGATTAAACAATTAACGTTCAGAACTGAACTGAAAATCAGGAGAAAGATTTAAGTGAACCGAGAAATTGTACATAGAGAGAGAGAGAGAGAGAGAGGTAAACGAAAGGAATGTTTCTTACGTGTAATCGTCTCATAGTGTCGGTGCTAATGACTATACCTATAGGTATTCGAGGATCGCGCGATATTCCGTAGAACCCGGTAATTTTCGGCGGCTCGTGGCAGCTACTAATTACCCCCGGCGCCGCGTCGCGATTGCTCCATGGAGTCGTAGCCGGTGATCGAGCGTCGCGTCTTTAACACGTTGCGTTATGTTAACAAATTATGGGAGAAATTCTTGCGTGTTATACCGCTGATGTGGCTAATGAAGTACTGATACGTAGAGCTCTACGCCCGGGGCTAAACGCTGTCATCAAACTGGAACAAATCTACGGTACCCCGGTTCGGGGCTGTTAGAAGCTGATTTTCGCCTTGAATTCGGCGCTGAACTTCGACCAGAATCCAGGAAACACAGGGACAATGTATCGTAATTTCAGCAAATCCCTGACCTCTCTGTTTGGTCAGTTCGAAACGGGAGGGGATTCTCTCGATCGAGGAAACCGCTGCATCAAGGAATTTCCGAAAGTTTCATGCTTTTCATGTGTATTCTACACATCCACGAAAATCCGGATTTTTCCTTTCTTCTAAACGATCCAGCGTTATTAAACAATTAAAAGAAACTGTCGCTTTGATCGGGGTAAAAAGTTTTGGCTTTGTTCCTGATGGAAAGTTTCAATTATGAAACGAGACTAAGTTTGCCAAGTTTCCAGTAAAATTAACGAAACAGCAGAAGAGATCTCTGGTTACAATTTCCGTTCGAAGAATGGACAGCCCTAGTTTTCTCCTCAAACAAGGAGGTAGATTGTAGTTGAATAAATTTCCAAGGAAAATGGCCAAAGTGACGAAAGCAGAAAGTTTATTATACCGTATCATTGTTCCGAATAAAATTCGCGGGTAGATCGATAATCGCGTGAACCGCGTTCATATTTGCGGAGCTCCAATTAGCGTCGGGGCTGTGGCTTTTTTCCCCCCCATGTGTGCGTGTGTGTGTGTGTGCCACGGATAACAATACGGAGTATCTTAAATTTGCATCCGTGGGACGAGATTACGCGCTAATGCGACAATGGCGGATCTCCGGGATGATAACGATGTCAATATTCGAGCGTAAATATTCGCCAAGGTAAAACATGGGACTGCCGTGTTTTCGTAATAAATTTGACGACGCGATGCGACGCGACGCGCCGCGCCGCGGCGTGTTTAATCGGACAGGAATGTAGGTCAGCGTTGCGTTAAAATCGCTTGGGCCGTAGGAGCCGCGCAACGGCAAAAATTGTGTAAATATATTATTCATAACTACTCATTGACCCGGTTAATTCGGTCGGCTACCTCGGTCGAACCGCCGCGTTAATAATTGGAAAAATGACCACAGGTCGACGAATTGGTCCACGCTGTTCTCTATACTTCACGGTGTTTGCCACGTTTCGGCATAATTAAGGGGATATTCCCATTTGCACGCGTCATTTTCAGGCAATTTTCAGGATTAAAAGAATTATCAGATAATTACGAAAGAAGGGACTCGAAAGTTTTCAGGTAAATAGGGTGTAATTTCTCCTGGATGAGAAGAAATCTTGCGCATATTTGAACGCATTTCTTCATATCTCCGTAGTTCAGATGCTCGTAACGCAAGAAATTCCCGAAACTTAATTCACCGCTTAAATTCTATAAATAATATTTAATTACGTTACTTTTTAATTCGAACTTCTAAATTTGCGGAGCAATCTGGAAGAACAGGCCGAAACGCGGTGCGCGATCGGGTGAAATCGAAGGCACGGTTGGCGGAACCGGCTGTGCACCGGTCCTAGGTGACCATTTCGACGCTGCAATTATAATGAATCAGACTGCAAATGGACAGCGAGGCAGGAACGCGAGCGGATAATCAATAGGTTTGCCATTGGAAGCGTGGAACGGTGTCGGACGGCCGAGTGGCGTATTTCAATCGGCAGGAAACGCTAGATAGCCATGGGCCGTGGCAATTTTCCGTTTCATCCGTGCCACGTTCACCCTCCTACCCTCTCTCTCTCTCTTCGACACTGTTAATTTGTTAACTGCTAATTTGCTTGGAAGCACGCGCGGCGCGACGCAGCGCGACTGCCCCAATCACATTTCGAACGTGTTGGAAAAACTTTTGGCTCGGTTCGCACAACGATCCACCTTTGTTGTTCCCGAGCAATATCGTCATTGTCGCCTATTAACGACGATTATTTTTCCACGGCCCCGTTTTCCAGCCACGTTTTCCACCGGGCCAATGACGGACGAATTTACTGTGAATAGACGCGATTGCTTCTCCCTTTAACAACGCTGCCGCAGAAATAACGCGTTAATTCCGCTGTTATCGCGCTCGCGACTAGTTACATTTAGTTTGTCCCGGAGTTTGTTTCGAAAGTACTGTTCACAGCATCGATATTAAATCGGGATGTACGAGACTGGTATCGTCGTGTATTTGCTTCCGGGGGATCGAACGGTAACAAAGAGAGTTTTGCTAAAGCACGTTGTCGAAAACGTAACGGTATAAATTCTATCCCGCAATTGGACGGTATTATCCCGCTTTCGAAATACACCGGTGTGTGTTGTTTTTTTGCAAGTTGCGCGAAAAAAGTTTTTTAAACGAGACATCAAAGGATTAGACTCTTGTTTCCCTTTTGCCGGTGAAACGTGCTGAAGTGTACCCCTACAGTAGGTAGCTTCCGGTTATAATTAAAGGTGAAAGCAACGCGAATTAGCAAAGACAACGTGACGAGCACGCGCACCAAGGAGGCATCCGGAATGTCGTGCACCTCCAGTTCACGTCAAAAGAGAGAAAAATTCTGATACAAAATTGCCTGCAGTCCCCGTTGAAAAGAACGTAGAGCACCGTAGAAACTAATCGTAACTTCCTCTCGCGACACCGGA